CGTGAATGGAGAGCAAAAAAATGGGTGGCTCAAATTCGAAAGCCGCGCCACTTAAAGCAGTTTCGAAATTTAAATCTCAGCCTAATTAACAACTAAAAGAAAAGCCTATCTAAAACAGAATACGCCCAGTGACTGCTGCACGTGTTATAAAATCTACCCTCACGTATAAATGCTAAGCACAACAACCTGACATATTTGCAACACCCCTTTACCTGCAGGACATCATTTTTAACAGATTTTAGGTGAATAATTATTGCAAATTTCTCTGTTAATCACAACATACAGGGTGCAGAGAACAGTACAGAAACTGAAGTGAATTGTCGCAGTCTTGAGCAAACAACAAGGCAAGAACATTTAATGTAACCGGATTCCCTCTGCAGCAGAGAAATTGACAGATTGTACCACGCTGCGTGAGATATTCGGACGAGGTTTGGCTGCCGTCTTTTGTAGCGAAGCTATTGTTTAAAGGAGCGCATTAGAGTACGATGGCCGAGGGGCAAAGGTGGCCGAAAGTTTTCACAGGTCGCACAGCTGTCGCATTTGTGCATTGTTCGCATCACTTTAAGCTGTTTAAATAGAAAGAAAAGTTGGCATTGTTAGTTTAATTAAACGACTGCATAAACTTTGCACACATGCTGAGGGTGTTTACTAATCTCATGTCATATAGCAATTATTTTCGTTTAATCTGATTTAGAAATCCTCAGGTGGCTATGAAACATATTATTTGCTTGAAAATATATTGGTCTACACTACAGACCCAAGTCAAAGCAATGAAAACTTTTTTTGAAAGAATGGGTTTGCTGACAATATTTCCAGTCTGAATCGATGTCGGAAAATTATTCTTTCCACCTTACTTTACGTCAGGAAACATTTTTCATAGTAAATTGGTCGGATCATCTGGCTTTTCAGAAACATGCATGTTATTATAAGCGTTTTTTTCTTAAATATACCCGAACGCAAATGCATAAGTCTGCTCACTCACATCGTCCAGATTTTTTAATATTGACGCATTGGTAAATCATATGTTCATTGGACGATTAGCATCTTGAATTACATGTAAAAAGGCAAAATTTATTGATAGTTGAGGAATCATATATCAGTTATACACAGACAGAAAGGACAGCACCTCCTGAAACGGCAATACAGACGTTGAACATAAAACAAATAATAATAATCAATGCCGTTTAGCCCTACTTACTTTATAATCTTAATTGAACTAAGACTACAAGATAGACTATTTTTTTACAGGACTCATATATATCGCATGCATCATCTCCCGAAGATGAAGAAGAATAGGGGGCAATTTCACGAACCGATCTACGTATTCTGACCGACGTTTTAAAAGCACACTCTTTTTCATCAAGTGCGTTTTTAGAACGTCAGTCAAAATATATTTTCGGCTATTAAATTGCTTCCTCTTCTTCCTCTTCGAGAGATGATGCACGCGATCTCTCTATATTGCTACGCTTAGCTGTCGAAACGTGATCGCAACTCGCGACTCTTTGTTCGTTTTCTGCGGTTAAATGTTGACGCTACCTAAGGGTGAATTTAAATGTCAATAAAAGATTAGTCGAGAATGTAGATGGACTTCCAACCCAGCATTTAAAAACCCATTAATGCGCTGTCAGTCGCTAATGGAACTTCTTGCGTACACAAGTCGAAAACTGCAATTTAAAACTCTACGCGTTGTCAGTTGCTAAAGGTTTGCCCAAATGCAGTCATTTGCCACCAGTCAGAGCAATTCTAGCCTTCAGTTTAAAGGTGACCTTGAAATATCAACCTTTGACAAAACTGGACGCTTTTTGCTTGTCTTCAAATCTAGCAAAAGAAACACAATGGCGTAAAAAATTGGGAAGTTAAAATAAGAATTAGCTTTCCCACGTGCTTTTTTGTCCGAAATTTGAGCCGTCAAAAAACTGACTACCGATGCAAACGTTTCGTGAAAAGCCACTACAGTGAATAAACAGCCTCAATTCCATGTGACCCTCCAGATAAAAAATACTATTCATTCAGCGCCAATTGTAACTTTTATAAATTTATTCTACTGAAAGAACGTACACAATCCATACATACCCAACGCGCGAGTTACTAAAGTGCATTTTGGGCAAATTTCTTGCCCTTTGCTAGATAGGTTGAGCAAAGAAGTGACAATTCACCACTTTCCAATTCGCATTCATAAATACTTCAAATGTTTTGTCCGATAAACATATTTTACTATGAAGTGGTCATCACTCCTGTGTCAAAAATGTATTCTACCTGTTTCAACATATTTTCTGCACACCACTGCCAGTTACCCTGGTACTTATAATTTTTCAAAATTTGTGGCGATTTAGGAAATTTAAAAAAAATACTTTCCCAATATTAATATTTGCGCAACGCAACAGCTGGCGGTTGCTACTAGCAATATGTTTGTTTGCGAATATACTGAACGAAAATGATGTTCCTAGCCCCAAATATGAAATGACTGCATTCACTTTTGTTCCCATGGACAATGTACGTAAAAATTAGAGCTGTTCATATGATGTAGGTTTGATTGCCGTGGTTCTAAGAAAACAAATTTTTGACAAAATGTTAAAATACTTCTACTTAAAACAAATGTCCTTCTAAGCTTTCCTGAACAGAAAACTGTTTGGAGGACTGGATAGGGTTCTGCTTATCAGATGGTAGGACTAAACGCTCACTGAAAACAACACTAATTCGTTTGTGAGGTATGTCTCCTGTGTTTTATTTGCAAAGCTGCAGTTTCATGTGCCGTAAGTTTACAGTATCCAGGGAGATGCTACTGGTGGTGCTTTACACCAAGGCCTTTGTCAACACTTAAAGGCGCAGTTAGGTGCACTTAAACAATTTCTAGAAGGTTAAACAAGTGCCTAGCATGAAAGGAGATGTCTAAGCAAATAAGATGATGCTCACTGCAATTATTAATCTAAAAACGCATTACAGTGACTGCTTTCCTTAGCAATACGTTTGCGTGTGAACATAGTTGAAGGAAATGATTTTCCTCGCCGTAAATATACAATGCTTTCGTTCAACTGTTGGCCAAATTGACAAGTTATGTGATTATAAATCTTTTCATACCAAATAGTATTGGTTGCCGTTGTTCTAAGTAAACAAAGTTCTGACAATGCGTGAAATACTTCTATTTCAATATCACGTCTTTGTATATTTTCAGTAGAATCTACAGGGGCCGAATAAGGCTCCACTTGCCGGCTGTTATACAGAAACGTTCACTGCAGATGCCATCAATTTGTTTGTGAGTCAATTTGTCTGAAAAATGTAGAAATAATAATTCCGTACTGTGTTGCCGTACGCGGAACTTGTTGTGTGCATAAAAAATACGCCAGGGCTAAAAGAAGCACGATGTAATAGACATAGCTTTTATAAAACAAAAACGCTGCTGGCGTCTGTTTTAAAGTTCTATTTTCTACATTCGCTCGACCAAAATTCTTAGAGTTCACAGTAATGATGCCAGTACAGGCGAGCTAAAATGGTTTTAACCAATTCAAGGCAAAGACTGGTTGGTTCCCCAAATCGGCTAAATCTCTAGAACGACTTTTGAACGCCGTAGAAGTGGCCTCTATTTTAGTAGAAAATACAAAAAA